CCCCCCCCCCCCCCCCCCCCCCCCCCCAAACCTTATCTCATCCGTGTAACACTTCTCTCCACTCGGTTCGGCGGTGTTCACACTGTCCTCTTTTTCCCACAGTCTGAGCTGTACAATTTGGCGCACAGTTGCCTGCACGCGCGCCAAATGCATCGGGACGTTTACCTTAATGAGCGGTTTTAGACTGACAGGTGCTCAGAGTCACAGTAAGAATGTTTGAAGGATTTTAAGTTGCAAAGTCATGTAAACCAGACCAGTTTATAAAGTATATATTTTTCCTCATAAAGATGGTCAATGTGACCTTAAATTAAAAACTTGTACACCAAAATTGTGACCATGTTTACTTAAAGCAGCCGAAGTGACTGAAAATAGGCCAAACGCTAAATTTACTCTTTATTTGTTCCAAACACAGACTACCTTCAGTCTAAAGTAGGTGCTCAAGCTCCCACATGGTATTCAGAGGATTGTTTACTTTGAGTGCAGACCCGCATTTCAGAACAGCACATCAATACACGTGGACAACTACTGGAAAAAACTCTTATTTGCTAAAGATCAAAACAATCTTTTTTTCTTGTTTGATTTCATACTTTGTAGTGAATAACTTTAAAGTTGAAAGCATAATAACTTTAACAGCAATGACTGCAATATTTCAAAATATTTAACGTCTATATCCAGCCACTTGATTTTATGCCCACAGAGCATTCTGTTAATTTTGAAGGTTGTGTGATAAAAAGCAACAGTTTTGAAGTTTGTCTGTAGTTTTTTTTTTATTTACTTTTTTTTTTTTTTTTTGCTCATGTGCAATTCAAGATGGCTGCCACTGCCAGCTGACGTTAACACAAAATGTCTAAAACCCATTGAGATATTAGGCAGAAAATTTGTTGTGGTAGTAGCTGAGACTGATCAACACATATTCAGAGATTGCGCAAGATCTTTGTTTAAAATGTCCTCATTAAACCATTCACAAGTATTTGTAGTCAATGCTGTCCGTTAGCAAAATATCTCAAGTGATTTTCCCAAGACTATCAGAGAATAATAATGACTGAATCCATGACCACAACCTTTAGAAAATACAACAAATGTCTATAACTGAGTCAGTTGTACAGATATAGTGTTGAAGTTTGCTGTGGTTGCAGCTGAGCATCAAAGGAGGCCTAAAGTTGATCTGTTCTGGATGCTGCCGTCTGTGTGTGTCGTACGAGTGTTGTTTGTTCCTCTGCGACAAGCGGTGCCACAGCTGCAGACGCCTTGAAATAAAGCCGTCAGCTCTGACTCACTCGAGCACCACGCTCAGGGCTGTTGACTTCAGCTGCAACTCGCTCAGCACACATCTGAGTGGCGCAATAAAGGTCTCAGATTGTATGGCTGCACACATACATACATACATACACACATACATATACATACATACATACATACATATACAATCGTGAAGTGGAATTAAATTTATTTATTTATTGGATGTGTCAAACTTTTTTAACAAATAAAAAACTGAAAAGTGGGGCGTGCAATATTATTCGGCCTCTTTACTTTCAGTGCAGCAAACTCACTCCAGAAGTTCAGTGAGGATCTATGAATGATCCAATGTTGTCCCAAATGACTGATGATGATAAATAGAATCCACCTGTGTGTAATCAAGTCTCCGTATAAATGCACCTGCTCTGTGATAGTCTCAGGGTTCTGTTCAAAGCGCAGAGAGCATCATGAAGACCAAGGAACACACCAGGCAGGTCCGAGATACTGTTGTGGAGAAGTTTAAAGCTGGATTTGGATACAAAAAGATTTCCCAAGCTTTAAACATCCCAAGCAGCACTGTGCAAGCAATCATATTGAAATGGAAGGAGTATCAGACCACTGCAAATCTACCAAGACCCGGCCGTCCCTCTAAACTTTCATCTTGAACAAGGAGAAGACTGATCAGAGATGCAGCCAAGAGGCCCATGATCACTCTGGATGAACTGCAGAGATCTACAGCTGAGGTGGGAGAGTCTGTCCATAGGACAACAATTAGTCGTACACTGCACAAATCTGGCCTTTATGGAAGAGTGGCAAGAAGAAAGACATTTCTCAAAGATATCCATAAAAAGTGTTGTTTAAAGTTTGACACAAGCACCTGGGAGACACAAACATGTGGAAGAAGGTGCTCTGGTCAGATGAAACCAAAATCAAACTGTTTGGACACAATGCAAAATGATATGTTTGGTGTAAAAGCAACACAGCTAATCTCCCTGAACACACCATCCCCACTGTCAAACACGGTGGTGGCAGCATCATGGTTTGGCCTGCTTTTCATCAGCAGGGACAGGGCAGATGGTCAGAATTGACGGGAAGATGGATGGGGCCAAATACAGGACCATTCTGGAAGAAAACCTGTTTGAGTCTGCAAGAGACCTGAGACTGGGATGGAGATTTATCTTCCAACAAGACAATGATCCAAAACATAAAGCCAAATCCACAATGGAATGGTTCACAAATAAATGTATCCAGGTGTTGGAGTGGCCAAGTCAAAGTCCAGACCTGAATCCAATCGAGAATCTGTGGAAAGAGCTGAAGACTGCTGTTCACAAACGCTCTCCATCCAACCTCACTGAGCTCGAGCTGTTCTGCAGGAAGAATGGGCAAGAATTTAAGTCTCTCCATGTGCAAAACTGATAGAGACAAACCCCAAGAGACTTCAGCTGGAACTGCAGCAAAAGGCGGCACTACAAAGTATTAATACAAGGGGGCCGAATAAGATAGCACGCCCCACTTTTCAGTTTTTTATTTGTTAAAAAAGTTTGACACATCCAATAAATTTCATTCCACTTCACGATTGTGTCCCACTTGTTG